CAGAGGAAGAATTCAGTGGCGCCTCACATGGATCCTGGACACTGAATCAGTAGATGCATCGTCAGACCTCTCCTATGTGTCCAAACAGAAGGTGCGGCCTTCACCAGTCTTACCTCTTGAGGTGACAAACCAGACAGCTTTCTAATTTGTTTCCTTTTAAGGTGGAGCTGTCAGACTCCTCCAAAGCTCTAGGCATCAATTGATCAAAGGGAGCCCTAGAGACCCATAATTCAGGTTTTGTACCCCCCAGGAGTCCCCTGAGGACTACACTGCCTCACTCCAAGCAGCTCAGAGACACCCCTGCCCTGTGTCTTGAGGTCTGGTCTCTGTGAAACCTCCAGAAATGTTGTGGGGTATTCACCAGAAAAGACTGCTCAGACATGGGTTTAAGCCAATAGAAAGCCTTTATTAGCCAGATGGCCAGTAGATCCCAGCGTAGCCCCAGGCATTTCTCAGGATGAATTTTTAAGAACAAAAACTATATTCCAGGTTGACACACTTCAGTAAACAAGAACAGTTAGCCAGAAGCAGAGCTATAAAAGCCAAAAAGCAAGGTTAGTACATTTAAAGACTTTCCCAGGAGTATGAATTTTGATGGATCGGGTCTCTGTTTTCATTTGGGCAGGTGGTATTGTCTATGTGCTGAGTTTTATGAACTGAATGGTACTTCCTGCATGGAGTCAGTTGTGTTAAGGTCTGGGGGCCTACTGAGGTCTGGGACCCTGTTACAATACCTTTCCCACTTCCACACCTTCTTTGTGCCATAAGCTCCTTTCCATAAAACAACATTATTTGCAGCCCCCAAGCCTACCCTGTCCCTAAGACAGCGCAAACTACTTCAGACTCAGATTCTCATCTTACTCATCAAGATCTTTCGTCCACATCACTTGCTTATTTTGCTGAGACTGTGTGGTATGTTTTCGCATTTTGTATGTGTTTTTCCATGTGTTTTCATAGTTGACACGGGTCTTCTTTATATCCATACCAAAGTGAAAGCAGATTGCTTTGCCCACGAGGAGTACTTGGTAAATGCTGCAGTGTTGGGTGGGAGACACCATCTTGAAGACCCCAGCTCTCTCACCTCAGCTCCTAGTCTGTGTGGACAGTCAGATCAGAGACGATGCCCTGATGTGTGACACAAAGCTATAGCAGCAGGATAACCACAGTCACACATCCTCCCAAAGGTGTTGCCTGGCTGACTTATAACTCTCCCGTTTCTACTCATTCTCATCAACTAAGCTACTCGCTCACTCACTCACTGCTGTCCTCTGTGAACCACGTCAGGCTTCTCCAGAAGTCGGTGAATAAAGCAGATGCAGAAATGAGAGTCGGTGCGTGGGAAGATGCCTGCCACTCAGGACAGAAGGCTGAACACACTGAATTTTGGTCAGAAGTTAGGGAGTTATCAGGTCATTTTCCTTTAGAAACAGAGCGGTCCTCAGCCAGCTGCTACATTCTCAATGGGAAATGTAACTGGGCTACACTGTGGGAGTGACTATAAAATACCTGGCGGGGCTGGCAGAAAAGTGAAGCCCTCCTGGCACATCTGGGGGGAATCCAGGCAGCAGAAAAGAATTTGTCTGAAACCAGACAAATTTCAAATGTTAAAAAGTCACTGTGGTAATTAAATGAAACACGATACTGAAGGGTGAAGTGAAGAAAACCTAAGTTACCACCAATAAGATTCCTGGCTTCTTTCTGAGCATACGGGTCTGTGGTAAGAATAGTACAGTTGATTTTCCCCCATTGCTTATCATTGTTAAAGAGAATGCAGTTATCATAAGATAACATTGAAGAATATGTGGGCTAAGCAGACATAATGAAGAAACGAGCATACAATGACTCAAAGTAGCCATGTATTTCCCCATTACATAATACTCAAATAAAGAAAGTACTGTAAGCAGCTAAATGACTACATTCCATAAGTCATCTAGTGACCCAGGTTATTTCCATCTTTTTGCTCTGCCATTCTTCTGGATGTTGTCACTGTTGAAATGCCGAACGGGATCACTGCCAAATCCATATTTCTGCCTTTGGAGAAGAAAAAGTGATGGGAGAGACCTCTGATGTTTTACAGTCAAGATCCAGAAGACCCATTCTTTGTCTGAACTTAGTTTTTGTTACTGGCTACACCTAAATGCTGGTCCATGGGTCTAGAAAGGCAGTCTTTAGGAATCATATCTAGCTAATAACCTAGCGCTGGGATGGAGGGAGTGGATGAGAAAAATAACCAACAGATTGCCACAAGGAACTACTGACCAGCTAGGTGGACTAGTCTGTGCAGCCCAGAAACTATGACTGACACCTCTCATGAAGTGATGTTAGGCTTCATACAGGACTAAGAGATGACTTGGGTGCCATGCTTGCCCTCCAAATACAGTCTAGGGAGGCTGGAGTCTTCAGGAGTGAGCAGAAACTCCACACATGGAAGATCTGTGAGGAAACTTGAACCCAACAAAGGTTCCCAAAGGGGCCTGATTTGCCAGCAGTTCAAGCCCTCCCTCCTGAATAGTTCTGTACAGTAGTTGTGTCCATCATGCCATGAGGCAAAATTCCAGTCTTGGAAACAGGTACAGCCTAACCTGTGTGCCTTTTCATTGCCAAATTGTGAACACTCCGGTAGTCCTTTCTTCTCTCCATCTGACCAACCTGAAGGTACCCAGAGTGCTGCAAAACTGTCCCCCAGCCTCTAAATTACTCTTCTCATCACCTCTTCACTAAATGGATGCTGTCCTCAGCACCAGCACCTTGGTTAGTCCAGACAAGCTAAGGATCAGTTGTAATCATCCACACCAAAACCTGAATGGCTAGATTTAATATATCACCACTGCCTGGGATGTTCTGCTTTTCCCAAAGGATCTTGCTAGTCTTTAAAATCAAATAACTAGTGGTACTTCTAAGCTCTTGAGTTCTTATCGGTGAGGGAGAAATTTAATTTTTGAGCTGAGGGGTTTTTTCCTGCTTGAATGAGAAAGGCAGGTTGATGAAGAGAAAGGAAATGGAGATAGAAAAAAGAGATGGGGGTGGTGGTGGTGGATGGATGGAATGACAAAGCGGCAAAGGGCACAGGATCTGGGCCCGGTCAGTATGGAATGTATTTCAGCTAAACCCCTTGCAGTCTAACTTTGGGGAGATTTCACAGCTTCGCTTTTTTCACCAGTGAAAATAGAGAGCAAAGTAGAGGCTACTTCACTGGGTGGCTGGGACAGGTGTGGAGTGAAGACTTAACCCTGTGTGGTGGGGACCCCTCAGAAAGCCAATCCAGTCTGGCTATGAGCTACCCTGTGATGGGATTTTTATTCTTCCCTTCACTCAGGTTGGACTGAACCCAAGGTCCCCAGAACATCACCACTTCATGTTCTCATCCCGTTTTGCATCATTGCTTTAATCTTCATAGCCGCAGTGATAGCCCTGAGGAAGAAGCTCTGTGGAAAGCTGTATTCTAGACATAGGTGAGTGACTTGCAAGTAGTATGAGCCTGTGTTGTGAGCCAAGGTGTGAACCTCTGCTTGACTCACAGTGGCCTTCGACCTGCCAGGCTCCACTGAAACACTTCAAGCATAGGAGGGCTTTGAGACAATCCTGGAGACATTTTACCCCAAGAAGAAAAAGGTTCAGTTTTCCATGAGCTGGGATCCACATGCAGACTTTTCGTAAGGGGATGTTTGTTTCTGGACTAAAAGGGTTTGCCTTGTGCTCTGAGCCTCCAAAGTGCTGTCTTTTGGGTAATATAGGCTGCATTTGCCAGTGAGAGGTAGCCAGGAGCCTCTCTGAGGATTCTGTTGGTTTCCATCATTCTTTTTCTTGTTCTGGGCATGAGCCAGGTTAAATCTTCCTGGTCTCCTAGGAATCCACCCCTTCTGTCTGGGTAAGGAACAGAGAGAGATTTGGTAACCTTCTCAGTTCTGGGAGGTTTTTGTGAGCATCAGCTTAGCCTGGGCCTTTTTATCATCCTGCTCCTATTTGATTGGACCAGCTAGGGCTTTGAGTCCTAAATAGAGCTGCTCTGGTGTCTGTCTGTAGTCTCTGTTCCTCACTTCCTGAAGTCCACAAGAACCCCAGAATATATGTAGACCTGTCTAGGGTTTTTCTCAGTGGGATCTAGGCAGCACCCAGTGAATTTCTTTCCATATCTACACCGGCTTTGTCTGTCAAAAAGGAAATGGCGTCTTTGACTAATTTATTTGAAGTGTGTGGCACCAGCAAGGGGAAGAAGTTTTGGAGGCTACATTGAATCCTACACTGAATCCTCGCTGTGTCCTCATCTGTTGAAGTATTTTGTGTTTTGTCCGCTGCCCTTTGTGTGTGTTATCAGGGCTGACAATGAGACCTCTAACTGTAGATTTCAAGGAACTGTTGTCAAAAGGAAATAAGATCTTAGCATTCAGGGGGAGGTGGAGACTGGAGCATTGTGCTGCCAAAGGCAGCCTGGGCTACTCAGTGAAACCTAGCCTCAGGAGAAAAAAAAAGAAAACTGAAAGGAGGAAGAGGGAGAAAGCAAGAAAAAAAGAGGGGAGACCAGTAAAAACGGGGGTGGGGGGGCAAGAACGGGGAGGGAGAGAGACAGGAGAGAAATGAGAGAAAAAGACAGAGAAGCAGACAGGAGGGGTTTTTTTTTTTTTTTTTTTTTTTTTTTTTTTTTTTTTTTTGTAGACAGGAAAGGAGCAGAAAAGCAAAGAAAGAGGAAATAGTGACTTTCAACAGGACCTTGACTTTTACTTAAATCTTTTCTGCTCCCTTGTGACATCACTAAAGTCTTAGGTCCCGCCTCTCACACACAGATTTCCTGGCCTGAGGCCTGAGGACCCCCTAGTCACTCAGAAGGGACATCTTAACCATTCACAATAATCAAGTTATGCAATCATCCCAGGTGTCCGTCAGTGTTCACAGTAGAGCACTATTTAGCCATAAAGGAAAATGAAATGGTGTCATTTTCAGGGGGATGAATGAAAATAGAGGTCATCGTTTTAATCCCAACTCAAACAGTGCAGACAGATAATATGTTTCCTTTCATATAGAGATTCTAGACTTTAAAAAATAATAATACATGGACAGGGCACCTGCACAAGGGGAGGAGGTCCAGGGCAGGTGAAAGGGAATGGATATGATTGAAGGACATTGTCTATGTCTGTGAAATGCCATTCTGATTAGGCTGGAGAGATGGCTCAGTAGTTAAGAGAGCTGCCTTACAGAGGACCTGAGTTCGATTCCCACCATCCACACCAGGGAGTTCACAATCACCTGTAACTCCAGCTCCAGAAGATCTTACGTCCTCTTCTAGCCTCCCAGGGAGCTAAGCCAATTTACCAGAGGGCCCCATCTGAGTTGTCAATGAGTGCCTCATGTGTAAGTCATTGACTGTGCGCAACTGTGGCCAGGACAGGAAGTCCCACCTACCTCTTCAGCCTTGTGTGTCTTGTGTTGGGACCAGTGGCAAGTAGCATGTGAAAGGCATTAACTGTAGTCCACAACCACTGTGGAGTATAGTTCTCTAGTACTGCCATGTAGAGTCTCCGTTTCTTCCAGGTGTTTACATTCGCTGGGCAAAGGTCTCCTTGCCAGAGCAGATCCCCATAAAGATCACATCAAACTGTCATGGCTGAAGAGATAGGAGGGGCTTTTTGACTTCTCAGCTGCTGTGCCATTAGCCCCTTCCACACAACATGCTCATGAAGAACCTGAGTCAGGAGCCTTAACTTCTCCATCTTCAGTTTTTTGGGCCACTGTTTTCCTGAGACTGAAGTAAAGATAAAGATGTCTCTGTCCCTTTTTTTCTGAAAGTCTCCATGGCCACTATACAGATTTACCCACCTGAGTATCACAACTCATAGTGCCTGCTGGAGGACAGCCATTACTGGTTCATAAAATGTCTTATTAGCCATTCAGTAGTTCAAGGATCCAGAGTGTCACGAGGCCTTCCAGAGAAGACCTGGGCAAATTCCCCTACAAAAATATCAAGTTCTGCTTTATTAGCTACGCCTAAGTTTCTTGGAAATGGTGTTTCTCTCGTCAATAGATAATATTTGCAATATCTAAAACATTGTCTGGTATGTGTAAGATGATGCTTAATAAAATTTTAAGTTTTTCTATTTTTATTCTATTTCTATTCATACATGCATATGTATGTATAATGAATTGTAGGCATTTCATCCCCCATTCCGGACTCCTAGTCCCCTTCCTTTCCGACTGACATTCTTCCCAACAAGCGCCTCCTCTATTTTCATTTCTTCTTTCTGTGTGTGACTCACTGAGTTTAATTGGAGTTCTTTGCAGGAGCATGGGTGGGAGTTGTTTAAAGAAAAGTCAATGTATCAGTAGCTGCACCACAGCAACCATTGACTGCCAATAGTCCCTCAGAAGGGTGTGGGCATCGCAGATTCCTCTCTTATCCATGGTGAAATTTGACAGGACCAGTCTTGAGCAGGACTTAAGTGGATAACCATGCTATCCTGGGTCCAGGAGTGCAGTGTCTATGTCAGTCTTTGTGTTACTCATGTCCCCACTTTCTGTCTCTTACATTCTTTCTTCCCCCTCTTTCATATTGTTCCCTGAGCCTTGGAGGGGGTGATATAGATATACCATTTAAAGCAGAATGTTCTGTCGTTGCTTACTCTGGGCTTCAGCCAGTTATGGGATTCTACAGTGCTCACTAAAATAGTAGACATTGAGTCTACTATCTGGAGGTGAGCATGCCAGACCTGCTCTAACGGACACAATAGCCAGCTGTGGCCATTTGAGTTTAGGGCTTAATAGCCATATTTAAAGCAGTCACACATGGTAGCTAGAGGCTACGATATGGGACACTGCAGATACACAGCATTACTGTCACTGCAGGAAATCCTATTCATGGTACTGTGACAAATCCCTCCTAAACTTCTGTTCTCTTAATCTTGAGTCTTGCCTAAGGCAGGGAATGGTGCCTTTATTTTCCCCATGAGGAACTGAGAGTCAGAAAAGCCACGTGACCTCCTGAAATCACACAATGTAGACTCAAATGCAGTTCCACAGATCTGTCAGCCTCTAAAACGTGTGACTTTTTCATAACAAAAATAGTTTTTTGTAAAAACGATTGATCTGGATTTTATTATCCACAGGAGGAAGGAACAAATCTTAATGTAAAGAATTGAGTGGGTTGTCATTTATATGTTGGGGCCTGTTGTAATGTCAAACTAGAGGACCATATAGCAATTACCTGCTACAGAGTCTAGATTTACAGAATTTATTAAATTTTGGGTGGCTTAAACAAATGGGGATTCAAAAAAAAAAAAAAAAACTTGGCGAATGGTGTCTGACCATGCAATGACCAATTGTCAATTCAAAAGTAAATGTATAGTGAATCTGAGGTGTTTGTCAGTACTTACCCATGTGATATCACATAATATCATGACAACATGGTTCTGAGCATGCAGCATGACCGCTTTGCACTGTGCATGCTGTCCTACTATGCCACACGAAGGAATGCTGCAGAGACTATCATGTGTTATGATTTGCAGTGTCATGACTTATTGTACATATACAGCTTTATTATCTTACTGAAATATAATGCTTTAATTACAAAAAATATACTATTTTATTTCATTTCTTTTCAAAGCAGAGTCCCACTATTTAGCTCTAGCTGTCCTGGAACTCACTATGTAGGCCTGGCTACCTTGGATCTCACGGAGATCTGCCTGCCTTTGCTTCCCATGTGTTCTAATTAGAGGTGTGTACAACTACATGCCACACAAAACACTTTTAATATTTTTCTACCATCATTCCTCAGCATGTATCAAACTCATAACTTTATATTTAGTTACATTAGATATTTTATTTTTAAAACTTTTCATTGTTGGCTTTCATTTCACTAAAAAAATTATTAAATAAATTTTGGTTTGCTATTAGGACAGAATTTCCAGCAATTTCTGAATTAGCCCTAAATATACTTCTGCTAATTTGTGCTGTATATTTATGTGTTGGTTTTCTACACATTCGTAGTTATAAACACAACCAAGTCACTAGTATACAAATTTTCTTTCATCTTTAATGAATGGTAAAATTACATAAGCACAAAGACTTGCTTTTAAATAAGGTCATTTTTGTACTACAAAAATGCTTGATTTTTGTAGTTATCACCCCCACATAGACACACACACAGAGAGAGAGAGAGAGAGAGAGAGAGAGAGAGAGAATAGCATACAAATTTCTTGGTGGAAAAAGTTTGGAACAAGTCTTCAGATCTTGAGAAGCTCGTTTCCCAAACTCTGGGCAACAGCCAGGTTTTGTGTGTGTGTCACCCGTGTGTGTTCAATTTTCAAGGTGCTGTTGATACTTTCATAATATACACAGTAAATAAATTCTTAAAAACTAAAATGGAAAGCCAAGTGTATTGATTCATGCATGTCTTTAATCCCAGGCTCAGAAGGCTGAGGCAGGAGGATTTCTAGCTTGAGATCAGCTGGGGCTACATAGTAAGCTTGTGGTCTGTTTGTAATGGAAAACCACAAGGACATAGTAGTTCCAGCTTATATTTGTATTTTATTTTATCCATGTGTATGTTCAGGTGTGCGTGTGTGTGTGTGTGTGTGTGTGTGTGTGTGTGTGTGTGTGTGTGTGTGTGTGTGTATACACATTCATGCATGACTGGGGAACATATGTATGCCTGTGGGAACAAATGTATGCCTGGGTACCACTCCTTGTGAGCCATATACCTTGTTTTCTCCACACAGTATTCCACTGGGATCTGAGGCTGGCCACTGATGCATTTGTCTTCCAAGTATGTGCCACCACAGTCAGCTTTTCACACAGATGCTGGGGATCAAGCTTAGGTCCTCATGCTTGGGCATCAACTGTTTCACTAAGTTATCTTCTTAGCCCCCGCCCCCCCTACATTTCTATTAGATACAACAGATATAACACATTTTCATAACAGAAAAAACAAAATAGTTTTTTTTTAAGTTCCTAAGTTTTAGACCCAAAATTGGTAACTAGCAGTTATCCAGCTAACACTAGCCCAAGGACTAGATTTTGGGTGGTCCTAGAGGACCAAAATCAGAATTTTATAAGAATCTAAACCAAAAGCCAAAGATTGTGGTTTCTGGTTGCCTAAGGCCCATGGCGAATAGTAGCATGGCCTCTGGCAGTAGGGAGACTGCTGCTGAGCATGGCAACACTCCAGAGCAGTTCCACTGGGCTCCTTCTAAATGCAAACTTTCTTGAAGAGGCCAGCAAGGTCAGGATGGTCATGATGGGGTTAGTAAAAACCTCGTTAGAAAAGAAGCAACAGGGGCTGTTCAGCACAGTTCAGCCAGCTGGGTGCCAAGTCCTGGAAGAAAACCTGAGGGGAAAGAGCACATGAAACTAGGGGTTAAGGAAAAAGTGAAACTAGAAAAACTTGATGCTAACAACTCATCATGCAAACGTGAGCTTTTGTTCTCTTAGGAACTCTGACATCAGGTTTCCACACCTTAGTATAAATTAAGCAGCCAAGCTTTGTGTTCTACTGCAAAACAGGCAGGTATGACGTGTCAGTCAAAAAAAAGATGTTCAAAAAAGCCATATGGGAGCCTACTATTTTACAGGCTATATATTTTTTTCATCTAATCTATGTATTCATATGATCGATCTATTCATATTAGAAATTTTAGTTACTCTACATAGAGGATAATGGTCCTGGTGATGAGCCGTCATCTTACCCAGCTGAGAATTCTGTGAGCTCCAACAGTAACTGGCATGGCAAGAATGTAACCACTGGTGTAGTAGTGGCAATAACGTTACGGGCATAATCAGCCACATTCTGATTTAATTTGAGGCCCACTCCACAGGCTGAATTGCATGGCTGGTACTGTATCTGTGGCCAAGAACCTATCGGAGAACTCGTAGGCTCTGATGGTGAGCCTACTACAGTAATTTTACTAAAGGGACAATAGCATCAATCTGTTCTCTAAATTTGTATCTCTACAGTCATAGATTAGTGCATCTCCCAGATCTTAACATGAAGTTCCTTTCCACAGTGGACCTTGGTTAACACAGATGCTCACAAATGCTCAAAGTTCAGAGAATAATTGTCTATGGAGAGCTCAGCTACAAATAGGACATCTATATCATACCCCACCCCTTTAAGTTCATGGATTGTCATTGTTAGAGTTTCTATTGCTGTAGCAAAACAACATGACCAAAAAGCAAGTTGGGGAGGAAAGGGTTTTATTCTGCTTACGCTTTCATATTCCTGTTGATCATTGAAGGAAGTCAGGACAGTGTACTGGGTGGTTTTGTGTGTCAATTTGACACAAGCTAGAGTCATCAGAGGAAGGAGCCTCAGATGAGGAAATGCCCTCATGAGATCCATCTGTAAGGCATTTTCTCATTCAGTGATCAATGCAGGAGGGCCCAACCCATGGTGGGTGGTGCCATCCCTGGGCTTTTGATCCTGGGTTCTACAAGAAGGTGGGCTGAGCAAGCCATGGAAGGCACGCCAGGGAACAGCATCCCTCCATGTTCTCTGCATCAGCTCCTGACCCCAGGATCCTGCCCTGTTTGACTTCCTGTCCTGACTTCCTTCAGCAACGAACAGCAATGCTGAAGTATAAGCCAAATAAACCCTTTCCTCCCCAACTGTCCTTTGGGTCATTGTGTCTCATTGCAGCAATAGAAACCCTAACTAAGACAGATAGGAACTCAAACATGGTAGAAACCTAGAAGCAGGAGCTGATGCAGAGGCCATGGAGGGGAGGTGCTCACTGGCCTGCCCCCTATGGGCTTGCTCGGCCCACTTTCTTATAGAACTCAGGACCACCAGCCTAAGGATGACACCACTCACAATGGGCTGAGACATCCCCCATTAATCACTAAATAAGAAAATGCCTTACAACTGGATCTTATGGACACATTTTCCCAATTAAGATTCCCTCCTTCTGGATAACTCTGGTTTGTCAGGTTGACATAAAACCGGCTAGTACAGAGACCATGAACGAGGAAGAAACAGATTGTAAGAGCCAGAGGTTGGGAAGGACAGGCACGGCACAAAATGGTGTCTTCTGGACATTGACAGGACTGCTGCATTGGTGCATTCACAGCAGCTCTGGCCACCTGTACAAGAGCAGCATTCAAAACATTCTAGCATGGAGCAAAGAGGGGCTCATGAGCCCCCACACCTATCTGAGAAGTTAATGATAATTGAAGCCTTCTGGGGGGAGGGAAAATCCTTTTTCTTTAAGGGTGTGGCCCCTGGTAAGTTGGCCATGCTCCAGTGGATGGTTCCATATCTTGAGTAAATGGGCCGCACACATGAAGACTCGGAGTCGGAAGGGTTTGGGAGGGTGGGGTGGACATTGGGAATATGGGGAGATGAATATAATCAAAATCCATTCTAGGCATTTGTGAAACTCGCAAAGAATTAATAAAAACCTATTTTTAAAGTGAAAAGGGAGGAATAATACTGAAACTAGACATTTCTGGGATTTTTCTTTCGCAGACAATGAATTCTTCCACCACAGTACAGAAGTGAACAGAACGATGAGTAAACGTGGCTTTGCTTTTCTTTCTCACCTCCTTCTCTATCTCAGTTTGAGTTAGTAAATTCAATTATCCCCCAATATCCATGGGAATTGTTTGTAGCCTCACTTAAATTAGTAAATCCTCATGTCCCTTCAGTAAAATGGCCCAATATTTGCAGATAACCTATCTACACCTGCATATAGGCTTGAAATCATTTTTCCCCACAGTGTGACCCACTTCAGTGCCAGCAGTCTACAGGCACAGAGGCCGGGCAAGGGTTAGGAAGCATTTTGCTCTAGCATGGGACACTATGAGAGACCTAGGGTGACAAACCTGCCACAGATCCAAAACCATGCATGTTGGAGTCATTTTGGTTACTTAAAACACCTATTACAGTGCAAATGCTTTGTAGATAGCAGTTGCATTCCATGATTTACTGAACAATGACAAAAACAAGGGTGTGTCCGTTACTTTTCTCAGTGCAGTAACCAATCGCCAGACAAGAAGCAACTGAAGGGAGAGGTCTATTTTGGACCATGGTTTGAGGGGCTATAGAGGGGTCCATCATGGGAGGGAAGGCACGGCAGCAGGCCTCTTCATGGCAGTGAGAGCAAGTGTGACAACTGCTTGCTCACATCTCAGTTCCATAGGAAGTGCCGTGGAACAGGATGTAAGATAGGAACAAGCGATTAACCTCAAGGCCAAACCCTAGTGGCCTACTTCCCCAGGCTAATTCCCACCTCATTAAAGGTCCACACCCTCCAAAACCGCAGCACCAGCCAGGGACCATGTATTAAAACACAAGAGCCTGTGAAGACATTTCTCCTTCAAATGGTAACAAGAGTCTACACTGTGTCTGCTCTAGGCTGCTTATTGCCAGCTAAGCCTACCTAAAGCCTATTTATTGTTCTACTCTTTGAGAAAGCGATAGTAAAGGAATAATGAGAAAGGTGCCTCTGGAGCCATGGTTGTGTGTTCCAGCTTCGTATCTTCCAGGGCTGGTGCTGTTTCTGTTTTGTTTTGTTTTGTTTTGTTTTTGTTTTGTTTTGTTTTGTTTTCCTGCCCTCAGGAGCCCTCTCTTGTGCAGAAGTAAGGTGTTGTGGCTGTCCACCCAGCTCTGGGATGGAGCACAGGTGGAAGAAACTTAGGATCTAGGTAGGAAGAGGGGCAGGTCCTAGGGACTCCGGAAACGTCCTCAGGACCCCTCAACCTGGCCTGGATGGATACGGTTGTTTTCATCCCTGACCTGTAAATGTGAGTGGAGTGTAAAGCATCTAAATTTGAACCTCCAAACATGGAGGCCTCTGGAAAACCCAGTCTTCCTTTTCTAACAGATATTCTTATTTCCTGTATTATAAAATATGTATTTTTGTAATTTTGTATTTTAAAGCCCTCCGTTTAAGCGTTCTGTCCTACATCATTTTAGCAGTGCCATACAACCAAGATAGTCTAACCCAGCAAAAGCCCAGCTCCCATACTCTGTGTAGATGCTGTCCCTGAAATGCATTTTCAGAAGCACACTGTGTGGCTGTGCCCAGGGGGGTGCACACGTGCTCTCTCATGGCACTGCTCTGCAGTCCTGTCTCTGGATCTGTTGTAATCTTTGGATAGCTGTGAAAATATGTGAAAATAGCTGCCAGGGGACTCAGTGGTGCCTACTGTCTGTTCTCCCAGCCATCCCCAGGGGCCTTGTCGGTTTGGCCATATTTGTTGCCAAATTAAAGGATGTGCCATTCTCTGTCACCTCGGTGGGCAGATGTGAGAAGGAACAGGATGGTGTTGGTGGCTTAAAGTGTGGCTTTAACTGTGCACTGTTGGTTTTTACACCTTCTTGTAGGATAACTATCGCTGTGACAAAACACCATGACCAAAAAGCAAGTTGGGGAGGAAAGGGTTTATTATGCTTACACTACCATATTACTGTTCATCATCGAAAGACGTCAGGACAGGGCAGGAACCTGGAGGCAGGAGCTGATGCAGAGGCCATGGAGGAATGTTGCGTACTGATTTGCCCCCCAAGACTTGCTCAGACTGCTTTCTTACAGAAGCCAGGACCACTAGCCTGGGGTGGACTGTGCTCACAATGGGCTGGGCCCACCTTCATCAATAACTAATGAAGAAAATGCCCTACAACATTCCAGATAACTGTAGTTTGTGTGACACATTGACATAAAACCAGACAGCACACACACACAGATCTTAAGACTAGCTTGTGCCCAGAGAATAATCATCATTGTAAGACTCCCTGAAAGCTCAGGCCTCCGGGGTCTCAGCCCAGGACCACAGTCACCCCAATCACCAGGCGGATTCGAAAGCTTGATGCAAACTGCATGAGGCTTTATTAAAGTTGTTTAACGAGCTAACCCCATGTTAGCTCGGGTCTTTCACCTACCCGCCATGGCTGATGGCTAAAAAAGACAGCTCGAACAGGCTACATAGAGATCTTGTAGGGCAGCATAAGGAATGTCTAGGGGTACGACGTACAGGCTCAGGATTGGTGTGCCTCCAGGCTTGGAGGACTTGCCCTGTGTTGATTGGCCAATTGGTTGTTATGGCCCATAGGCCCTCCCAGGGTGGTTGCTATGCTCTGCACGTCATTGCTGTGCACTTGTCCGTAAAGCACACCCAGAGCCGTAAAGCATAGCTCCACCAGCTAACTTCTGATTGGTTCCTTGCCACAAGGCAGGCATCTGACCTCTTAGTGGCCAAGGCAAGGTCAGACAAGCACATGTTCAGCTGTTAAGGCTGCCGAAATGGGGAGCTGGTCCCTTCGCATATAGCTGTATGCTTTACTTGTAAAAATATTAAAATGCATTTTAATACTTAAAAACAGGAAAAGGAAGATTACCTATAAACATTTATTGTGGGCAGTTTGTTTTGTTTTTGTTATTTTCAACCCAGAGTTGGTCAACCCAGTGGGTGTGAAACACAGAGATAGGAAGGGGCAACTGTATCCACGGTTGTGCTAATTAATTCATGAAAGTTGAATAGGATCAGTGTACACAGACAGAAGCGTTTTAATTGGCAGCTGTTCTACTAGGCTTGTTCTTGCAATTTGTGTTTCCTCTCCTTGTCTTTGTTGGAGAGCAAAGACGGCATCCACTTCAGGCCCGGAGCAATTCCGCCTTTCTTTGCTCTATCTGTATCCTTAAATTCTCCTGCCTCCTATCCTGAGTGGGAAGTCTGTAATGGTAAAGTTAGAAACACAGTCAAAATGTACTAGTGAGACAATAACTCTGCTGGGGTACAACTGACTGAGGGTTTTGCAGCCAACAGTGTTTAAGAAATAGGTTGTGGGGCTGAGCTGGGAGCAGGGCAGGGCTAATGAAGAGGGTGACAGGCTCACAGCTGGAGTCAGTGACAGGGAAGGGACATCAGAAGGGAGAGTGCTAGGCTCCTGCAGGCTGGTTGAATGGAAAGTGTGGAGCTTGGGAAGCCGTGCTTCTGGAATCAGATAGCCTGAGTCATGAGGGACAATGGGATGTCTAGTCTGCTTGGCAAAGAGCCACTTCTTTTGTGGGCTAGCAATGATGTCATGCGGCACCTGAGTGGAACAAAATGATACAGGAGAATCAGACTTCAAAACACCTTTGTGTCAGAAACTCAGGATGTTCGAGCTGCTTGATTTAGAATTCTACTGTGGCGAGCACCACAATTCCAAAGCCAGCATTTGAGAAAGCAACCCTAGAAAGCCTTCAGCTCAACCGTAAGATATGGCAATCGTCAGTACCAATGGGATGAAAAAGAGTTAATGTGAGCCCGCAGCCCTTTCCCAACAACTGGTCTAAAAGCCATTACTAAGGGCCCACACCCTGAGCACAGAGCCAGGGAATAAATGCAGCATAGGGCAGGTCCTCGCAGAGGTTTGATTGCTCTCAGCTCTGAGTCAGCAGTTAGATTTGCTGGACTCAACAGTTTCCCATCAGCCCTGGCAAGCCTGATTAAATATCTATTTCTTCAGACATGAAAATCCCAATTCCTATAAATGATATCCCTGACCTAGAAGCACCTGCTTGAGTAGGTCCTATGGGCTCAGCATCTTTCTCTAAGTGACTCCCCAACTGCTCAGGACAGAAGAAACAGGATAGGCCTGAGAGCAGAGGTGAAATGGAAGGAGGTCTGAGGTAACTAGTGGGGATGGTGGCCAACTGGAGAACGTAGCCTGCTACTCAGCTCTAACCGGTCACTGCCAAGATGGAAACATAAATGTTTATGTAATGACTGCTAGTTAGTAAATAGTTGATGAAAAGATTTTTAAATACAAACTAGCCAAATCAGATATACCCATGCGGGATCCATTTGCAGTCTTGGCCATACACTTGGTCGAGTGAGTGCATGGAGTAAGTCAGCTTGTTGGAACTGTCAGAGCCTTTAAAAACAGAAGTAAAGGACCTGGGAATGGCTCTGTGGTTAAGAGGTCCTTGCAGTGGACCTAAGTTCAGTTCCCATCATCTATGTTGAGCAACTCACAACCACCTGTAACTCCAAGCTCCAGGGCATCTGACATGCTATGAAATGTTTCATCACAGTACAGCTGTCTGTGGTCCATAGAATGGGGGTGGCAGGAGGTGGCTCTTGCAATAGTGCTAGGAAGGAAATTAGACTGGGGCAATCAATGGTAGAGGAAATGGCATGAATGACTTTGAGCCATGCTGATTTCATTACATGGATTTTTTTAAAGTTGTTTCTCCCTCCAGTCTATTTTGAGAAGTTATGTATGCTCTAATCAGAATAGTGATTTCTTTATTTCCCTGTTTGTGGTCTCTTCTTCCCAGATCTGGACCTGTGGCCTTGGCGGTTGAGATCAGCTGATGGGACACCCTCACTCTGGACTCTGAGTGAGGATCCCTTGGCCTGCAGAACCTGTCGTTTGCACTTTTCAAATGCTTTGGATCATGACCCAGCACTTCCTCGAGGAGCCTGCCAGACTGACAGCCTCCTTGGTCTCAAGACTCCATCTGAACCAGCACAACTGCACCTTAGAAAGTCAGCCCTGGGATCCTGAACCCCAGAGAGGGACCGAGGCCCCTCTTGGCCACCAACCTGAGACCAAAAAGAATTGTTTCCCCCTAGCTTTCCATGGGAAGATGTGGAAATTTCCAGTTACTAAAACAGATTGTCATAGAGTTATTTATATCTCTGATTTCCTCTGGGGGCTGGAAACTCCAGACCATTTTGTGTCAACAAAATCATAACTGGTGGGTTTGAAGCTTCCTAGAATCCTGGCAGCCTCTGAAGTTTGAATTAACAGGAGGAAGCAGTTAAGCCGATTTTGAGTACACAACCATGGGATAAGACTTTGTTTAGACTTTACTTTTTTTATGGTCCGTGTCACAAGGCATTTGTTTTAACCTGT